TCAACTGACAAACAGATAAACAAAATGTAGTGTATTCATACAATGGAACATTTTTCAGCCATAAAAAAGAATGAAGTGCTAATACTTGCTACAACATGGATAAGCCCTGAAAATATTAAGCTAATGAAACAAGTCAGTCACAAAAAAACACATATTATATGATTCCATTCATATGAAATCCAAAATAGGGAAGTCTATAGAGATAAAAAGTAGATTAGTTGTTACTTAGGACTGGGAAGTGTGGTGAGATGGTTAGCCGGGTGATAGCTAACTTTTGTAGTTGACGAAAATGTTCTAAAATCAACTGTGTTGATGGCTGTACATCTGTGAACATGCTAGAAAACATTGAAATGTACACTTTAAATGGGTGAATTATATGGTACGTGAATTATATCTCAATAAAACTGTTTTAATTTTTTTCTAATTCAGAATTATACTATATTAAGGAAAAAGGAGCCTGAAAGGAGAAAGAAGTCAGAAAGATCTATTTTAAGACAAGAAAGGCCTTTGAAGATCCTTCTGGATCAGATGGTATCTAAAGTACTGAGATCCCAGAAAATGGACCTACGAGTTTATTTGCAGTAGCAACGCATACAACTAAGAATGAGCCCAGCCTAGCATTGTTGTTGTTGTTGCTAGTTGCCGTCAAGTCCATTCGGATGCATGGAGACCCCATGTGTGCAGAGTAGAACTGCTCCATATGGTTTTCATGGCTATGACTTTTCAGGAGAAGATTTCCAGGCCTGTCTTCCAAGGAACCTCTGGGTGGGTTCCAATCGCCAACCTTTCAACTAGTACTTGAGTGCTTAACCATTAAGGACTACTTTCATTAAAGAAAATAGAGGTCATATAATGTGCACTTCTGCTATCACTATTTTTTGTGTATGTTGTCACAAAAAATGTAACAAAGGCAGTGAAATTTTCCAGCCTAAGAGCACTGTCATGAATTTATAGGTTAGACTCAAATGTAGAAGAGAGAATGAAACAAAGCATTTTCTATTCTTTGGGCTGCCAATCACTTGCATTTTCTATGATCATTTCTCGGGCTCCAGGAAACTTCCAGGAAACTCAAAACCTTGACACTGTCTTGAAAAACTTTAACCAAGGCCTTAAGAAACTTTCTTTGTAGATTGTTCAAATTTTAAGAAAAATTGCTGACTGCAACAAGACAGTGGTCTTCCAAATTGAATTTAGATCTAGTCATGGACTATAGAGATAAACCATGGTGAACTGGGAGAAATGACCTACCGGGTCCATTAAAACTAGGATTTTTAATCCCTCCTCTGTACAGATAGGCATGGACCGCTCCCTCTAATTGCATGAAAATCACTACATCATGATCTTGCATTTTTCATTTATTTCAGAAAACAACATGCAGAAGAGTACAAACATATACAAAGAAACACTTTATGTATCAGAAAAACTAATATGTAATTTTATTCAAGGAGATAATTTCTTGTTTTAATTTAGGAAAGTTAGTCTATTCATATATTTAAAAAATAGGATAAAAATCAGGATAAATATAATTATCTTACATAATGCATCTCCTCTGTAAGGATTAATAGTCATAGTTTTTGGGGATAAAAGCACTTTACCCATACAAGAAAAATACTTTCATTATTCTTTATAAATTTAAGTGAGTATAAATCCAGTTGCCAATTTCTATCATTTTTCATTTTCTAATGATGACTTTCAAACACTTAATTTTTCTTCCAATTTTCTAAACTTCCCATGCCTTAAATTCCACCTTTCTTTGCTCAGATATTTTATACACAAGCACCTCTAATAAATGATATTACAATAAACTCACAGCTCTACATGCTTAGACCTGTTATACTACTGCAGTTCGCGCTACACTGTCGTTCTCAGTTTTCAGCTTGCCCATGCCACAGTTAAACCTGATGGGAAAATTGAATGGAGTTGTGTTCACCTTAAAAGTTATTCTTGGTTTTTGTTTGTATGCTTGCTTGCTTATTGGTTTGTTTGAATCTGGGAAGGAGTGAGATGGAAGTTAGGATAGAAACATATGAAAAGAATATAATTTTCAACCGAGGAAGAGAAGATGCCTCCTCACTCTTTTCTGGGCAAGTGAGGATTCTAACCAGTACTCTAGAAGGAACAAACGATCCCCTCCCTACAGTATCTTCCCACCTCCTTTCCCTCCACTCCCTCCCCACTCCAGAGAGTGAAAGTTGGCATCGCGGTGTTGAAGTCTTTTGGTAACGGGACAACTGCTATAGCTGAGGGCATTCTTCACTTGACGCGATGCAGCTTTCCTGTCCCTCTGCCCCTAGGTGCATAGGAGCGCGGGCCAGCGCTTCTCTGCTCTGTGATCACCAATGACATTTGCAAATGTCTGAAAGAGGAAAGAAACAGAGGGCTCTCCCACTTTTTAGTGCCCCTTGTCACATTCCACTTCTAAAGTTCATTCTGCTATAATGAAGAGGGGAACTGCTTTCTATGTAACATTCTTTCAATGCCTTTTACAATTGGTTTTCCAGTTGTGACTTGATGCTGCATATATAACTCGACTAAAGAACATCTCTGGGGAAAAAAAATAACAAAAGAAAATTAGAGCTTAAGAAGATGAAATTATGCAAGAGCTGGAGATTAAAAATTAAGCTATCACATTAAGGACTTCAAACATCGCTGCAGGGCAAATGGAACTAAAACTAAATAAATTTAAAAAAATCCTGCTGCACAATTAAGGCAAACTTGCTTTATGAAAGCGCATGCATCTAAACCAAAGCAACCCTACAAAAGATCACGGTTGAAAATATCAGTGGACGTATTTTTTTTTTTTTCCTAAACAAGTTGAAAGTACGTTGTCTAAAACCAGAAACTGCCAGGAAAGAGACCTCCAGAGAGCGTTAATAGGTACATCTCTTTGAAGCGGAGAAATGGCATCGTGACCCCCTCGGTTGATGCAGATTGCAGTGAGGAGGCTGTTCTCTTGAGAGAAAGAACCGAGCGTAAAATGCTTTTGTAGGGAAAATCTATAAAAATGGGCAATTACTTTGAAAGCCTGGGAGGTCGTCTTCATAGCCAACCAAAGTGGCTTGTCCAAAACTGACTTTTGCCCCCACCCTATCCCAGGAAACAGAAGGGAACCGTTTTTGCACTTGGAGGAGCCTGGCTACGCAGTGTGGACTGCAGCCCGCGAGCGCGGACCAGGCGCCTGACTGCAGCCGCGCAGCCAAGGAGCAAGCTCGGCCGCCGCAGCGCTCTGAAGCCGCGCGCTCTGCTCCGCGCGGCTCCGAGCTCCGGGTTTCCGCGGTCACCATCACCCAGCGGAGGAGCCCCGCAGGAAGAGGACTGCCGCGGGCCTTGTCTCGGGAGTCCTAAGAACGCTCTACCCCTCTGCGGTAGCCCTCACGAAGCGTTTGACCCAGATAAGCGTGGTCCTGGGCTCTTGGACCGCCAGGTTGGCGTTGAGAGCGAGGCCTCAGTTTGGGCTTCTCTACCGGAGGCCCTCAGCCTAGCACAAGCCTGTGATTGCCAAACTAGTCAATTGGAGTTTCCCCAGATCTTCTTAGGTGACCTCAGGTTCGTTCCAAGCTGGACTCCCCCACTTGGGGCCAGGAGCAGCTCCCTCCTGGCACCGAAGGTTTGTCACTCTAGAGCGCAGTTTGCCACTGGAGACGCTCTTCTTGTCCCCAGCACCGAAAGGTTAACTTTGCAGTTTTCCTGAACGTGGTAAGGTGTGTGAAAGCGCTTTGCAAATAGTGAAGCGCTCTGCTTAAGGTGAACATCGTTCTTCACTGCGCCCCAGGATTTCTCTTCCCCGAATATAAAATCCTCTCCTAAATGTCAACCCCAGGAGGATTTTTTTTTTTTCCACTACTCAATGCCTAGAATAGTGGCTGATACTCAGTAGTTGTTCAATGAATAACCGTTGAATGAATGTACATACACAAATACTTCGGGAAACTGATCAGGTTGGGGACATCTGGGATTTTTTTATTGTTTTTTTCCTGGTAGGGAATCGACCATTTATTGGGCATTACTGCTTGCCAAGTCTTCTAGGCTTTGGCAGACCGTTGGGTAGCGGGGGAGGGCTGGCAACCGGGCGCCTCAGTCAAGGACAAAAGGGGGCTTTATAAAATCGGCTTGTCCAAACCATCAACCTTAGATTCGCAGAATGGTTCAACTCCCTCACCTCCTACACACATATCTAAAGCATAGTCAGTAAATACGTATTTATTAAACGCATACGGAAGGTGCTTATTGGTCGTTTACTCAAGGTCAAACAGGTCAAAAAGCAGACCTCGCACCCAGTTCTCTTCAATACACATTTTTCCAGCACCTCCTCTGGACCAGGACCATACTGTGCACTGGGGTACGTAAAGGACACGGATCCCAGTGCTCCGAACGTAAGACCCCCGGATGAAATGACCCACGGCAAAAAGGACCATAACCGTTCCTTCAATGAGCCAGTGCGCACAAGCTTGCTGGGAAGAATTCCTTCCCAGAAAGGGATTTCTGCAGTTTTCTTTTTCACCTTAAAAAAAGAAAAACCTTTGCCGTGAGTTGATTCCAACTCACGGCGACCCTACATATAGGGCAGAGTAGAGCTGCCCCAAGACTAAATCTTTAAGGGAGCAGATTGCCACGTCCTTCTCCCGCAGAGCGGCTGGTGGGTTCGAAATGCCAAACTTTTGGTTAGCAGCCTGTCGCTTAACCACCAGGACTCCTTTCTTTTCACCTTACAGCCTGACAAAGGATTGGGCTGGGGGCTGGCTAGGACTGACAGCGGCGGGAAAACCAGGATCCACGTGTCCCGTCTCTGGCCTGGGCCTTTAGCCAGCAAGCACAGTAACCGCGGGGCGTGGCTAGCCCAGTCTGCCCTCCTTCACGTCTGTACAGGTGTGGGTTTCGCCCAAAGACGGGCTCCCTTTTCCTATTTACTTTCCTTCAGAGTTTCTGCTAAAATCTGGAGACGCAGAATCCACCCGCTGTAACTCCGAGCCTTTCCAACTGAGCATGCGCCATTGCCAGGCTTGGTCACCGGCTCCCGAGCTTACCGAGCTGGGGCTGCGGAGCTAAAAGAGGGAGGAGGGAAAGGGGAGGGGGTGCCTGGAGAGGTGGAGGCTCGCGCGCCTGCGCACCCAGCTCCAGCGACCCTAGGTTTTCTATGGGATTCCCAATCTGCGGCAGAGACCTACCGGAGCGTGTTGCGGCTGCAGCTGGGCTGGCAAGGCGCGATCCAAGAGGGATTTAAGCAACCTAGAGCTCTAGGGAGAAAGAGAGCGTGAGAGAGCCACAGAGAGACGGCTTAACAGTTTACCCGAATTGAATATATAGATATATTAAAAAAAGAAAAAAGAACTGTTGAGTTTTATCATTTGCTTTAAGTGACCGTGCGCAGCGCTATAACTGTAAGTAGAAAACGCAATCTTCGTTGCCTTTCTGCATGTGTAGCGCAACCGATTGTCAGGGAGACGCTTTGGCTATTGTCACATACTTGACTTTGCATAGATGCGTCTAAATGCATAGTGACAATTGTTTTGGTTGATGCTGGCAGTCTGAATGTGCTGTTAGTAGTGGGGGACCTTTTGGAATAGTGGGGATGGGGGAAGGGGTGTGTTTATATGCGGCGTGTTTGGGGGATTTTCTTAGGATACATTTGAGATAGTTGGAACTGAGATGCTTTTTTTAGTTTAAGTCTATAAATAGACGGATTTCCTTACACAGATTTAAGTAGCTAATTGACCTATTGTGAAGTTTTCCGGTTGCTGATAAAACTATTGAGCGGTTGCAGTCGAGTACCAACCTGTCATCCTTGGGGTTGGTGCACCGTCTTCTCAGCGTAGAAGAGCAGCAAAGGTGTTTGCTAAGTAAAACTGAGTGGACAAGAGGATATGGAAATCAGGGTTGATTTCGAAGCGGGATGTTAGTATTTAGACCACACGGAGTTAGGCGCAACATGAGCACATTTCGCTCTTCGCATTCAAAAATGGGTAGATAATTTTTCGTTTTTCAGTTTTCGTCATGATGGTGAATGGACAGAAAAGGAAAGATGTTCTACTGCACAGTCAATCGTTTATTCGGAACAGGTCTGAGACTCAGAGTCGCTGAATGGCGACTGGCAGACCCAAACTAGTTACCTGCTTTTGCATTCCACATTCACATTCTGGAATGCAGGCTTGAGAAACGTAAACCCAGAGGTGTTACATTTGGTAGTGTTTCTTTAGAGGAGAAAAGGTCGTTTTGTGTTTTGAGTTAAAATGGGTTGTTTCTTGCCCAGAAACTGGAAAAGGGATCTTTGCAAGGTCAAATCCCGTGTGGAAATCAAATTACTGAATGCCCTCAGGGGCGCTGGGGAACGTCTGGCAAGTGGAGGGCGCGAGGAAATGGTGATGCTGCATGCGAGTGCTCAGCACTGCACTCATCAGTGCCCTGTAAGATGGGAGTGTGGGAATCCATTTTTCTGGAGTCACCCTCCGGTCCATATTTTGGAGACTAAGATAAAATGGAAATGCTAGTGGGTGTTGGAAACAAAAGCTGCGTACTATCTGTGTGTCACTTCCCACTTGAAGGAAAGAAGATAAGGAGTTTTACTGCTGCATATTAAATTTATTTTAATTAAAGGAATTTCTAATTGAGACAAATCCAAAATGAAACTCTTGCGGAAATGCATTTTACCCTCAGTGCCATCTAAACTACCTACGCTTGTGTGTGTTGGAGAGTGGGGGGTCTCCGGCATCACTGCACACCCTACTCATTAGTGTACGCTTACTAAGCTTTGAGTGTTTAATAACCCCAGAAAATGCTGCACTGAAGCAGCTTGGCAGAATGGTATGAGGCAGGCAGACAAGAGAAGAGCATGGCCAGTGTCTGACCATAGCCGCCGGATTTCCATGGAAAAAGCAGATCCAAAATCTGGGATAAATGAAATAAATTAGCCCCCAAACAAGACAAATCATTACAGAGCACTTTGGCCCTTTTATCAGTGCAACTATTAGGAGCCCCTCCAAGGAATTTCTAATTTATTTAAATGGATGAGATTTGAAATTGAAATTTTGAGCAGATCCTCTCCTTGGAAATCCAAAACATACATCTAACTGCCTTCTCTGTTCCTTCCTTCCTTACTCCAGGGTGGAAGGGCAAATCATTTGTCACAATTGAGCCACGCTCCTTGTCATCATTTTCGAGTTGGCGTCAGTTCGACAGTTGGTACGGGTGTTGCACAGTATTGTTAATGAGTGGTGGGGAAAAACGCGGCTGGGGGGGTGGGTCTGATATTAAGTCTCATAGATATTTGTTCTTGGATTCCCTGGCTCATGAGCTGATAGTTACATAGGGTCAGATCAGGAAGATAATTTGGAAGGCATCTAGTACAATCCCCTTGTTTTGCAGATGTGGAAACTGGGGCCCAGAGCCTTGGAGCTAGAGAAACACCAATTGACTTCTAGTCTGTGGAACAGAAACTTAAAAAGTAACGTGGAATGAAAATACTTCCTTCTCTCTGCACTTTCCAGCATCCTCAGTGACATTGCTGCAGTCTCCAAATAAATAATTGCCCACTTCAGGGATGGTCTCCAGTGGTCCTTTTCAGATCACTGAGCTTCTCTTCTCTGCCTCACCTTTCCTTGTAAGGTCTCTTTCCATCTCTTTTCTGTTGCCCCTCATTTCTAATACACCCACCTCACTGGATGTTTAGTCCAGCATTCCTGGCCTCCTCTGCATCTCAGTTTCTTTGGAATCCTCAGAACTTTTCCAGAGAAGTGGCAAACCAGTCGGATTCTACCGCTCCTGTTTGAGGACTGCCAAGGCCAGGACCTTTCTCTTTCTCCTCCCTGCTCTATTCACCAGGATGCTTCAGTGAATTCAGCCGTTAGGGATACTGCAGGTGCCATCACCACTCTTCTGCCCATTCAGCCTCTTCTAAAACTGCTACAGCTGCAGGGATTGGGGCCTGATGGAGGGAGCATGCTGCAGTGTAAACACACCACAGGCTCTGCCAGCTCCCCCCTGGCTCCTAGGAGGTAGAGCGCAAATCAGAGCTACCTGTCTCCAGCCTTCACAGAAATCCCTCAGATGAAGCCACCTGCAGAGAAGGGAGAGGGAGCAGAGAAACTGGAGGAAGAATGCTTGACCGATTTAACCTGAACTGGTGCCACAGAGGGGAATAGTGCAGCTTTTTGAAACCTTTAGAGCTTCTAAAGTCCTTGCATAGTTTTTCTTTGGGCTGGGTTTACTGGACAGGAGCTGCAAAGCAGGCATATTGACCTGCCTGTTGGCCTGTCTTCCCTCCTTCCTCCTTTCCCTCTTCTTTCCCTCTCTGGTCGTTTTCTTCCTTTCTCCCTCATTTACTTCCGTCCTACCTTCCTTCCAAGTACCTACACAATAAAGTTCTCGGCCTTTTGAAGATAATCTGTGCATTCCTGTTCCTTCTCCAGAGCTGTCATCTCCCGGGCACTCAGAAAGATAACCACAACCACCACCAAATTTCCCCTTAGGGAACTGCCATGGATTCTTACTGAAGAGCTAGAGGAGAGAGGAGGAAGGGCTTAATGGGTGGGAGGCCAGGCCAGAGGAAGGCTGAGTCTGAGTCTCTCCCTCATTTGAAAGACTAGCTAAACACTCCTAGAGGTTATTGAGGAAGCTGAGGAAGCCATGGTGAATTTCCAAGCACATTCACAATTTAATCAAGCCTACCCCTTATGGTAAAGCTTTACTGAATTGGGATGAGCTCTGTTTTGGATACATTTTGTCCCTATCTATTGCTCTTGGGTTAGACATCATCTGGTCTTGCTAACCTATTCTGAAGATAGGAATGTTCAGGCTATTCTGGACACTGCGTGGCCTCTGCAGAGATCCAGACGCTCGTGGTTGCTAAGTGCCCTTCTTTGATTCGTGTACTGTGAATCACATTCTATTATAGGATAACATGATTAGGTATGTTGTCCTGGGCAATATACAGGTTCTCTGTTTGGGTTGCATACTCCCTGGGGAGCTTCATAGAATGACAGCACAACATCAATGTGTCAAATGTGTGGTTTCCTAATTGATAAGAGCAGTTTATTTTCATTCCATTTCATGTCTTATTGAGTGATTTCTGTGCTCCTAAGATTAGTGATTACTTAGGAAGGAAGAAAGGCTCTTTTTATAGAACATTCAATTAATCTAAGGTTGAAATTGACAATGTCTATCTCAGTTATAGATACAGTACATATAAACATTAATTTTCCTAAAGTATCAAATGGCACAGTGATAAAGTAATAAATAATTGATCTTTCTACTATTCCACTGGTTAATTCACACAGTTAATATAATATGTGTGTTGGATGCGGCCTATATAAATTACCTAATCCATCTCTCCAATACATAAAAAATATAGTATATGAAATGAAATTTTTCTCCTAAAGACATATCTACAATATAAAATCATCGTGAGACTTTAATGACCTTTTTTATATTTCCACAGTATCTGTACAGTGCCTTTCATTGTAGGTACTTTATATGTCAACTGAGTATTTGTCCTCAAAGAATCAGATAAATGTGTCTGATTAATTATATCAAATTGAATCCTGTCTGCTAAAAACTATGGGCATACTTAAATTATTGCTTTAAATAGCTTCATATTACGAAAAGAAAAAGACTAAAGATTATAATTTGTTTTCTAGTAGAGGTATAAAAGCATTATGTTAATAACGCTATGGGTGTTTTTTTAACCACTTATCTACATATCCTTTTATTTACTTACATGACTTGATATTAATAAATCAAAGAGGGAATATAAACCCAGACTGCAGTAACTGTGTGTTCCACTTATTTAACGATAGTCTTTTGAGCTATGGAGTTATTTTCACATGTTCACACTGTGAAGGGACCAGGACACTGCATTTCTCATTTGCAGTTTGTTTCTAAAGATAACTCAATGCTTGCTTAAGTGAATCAAAATGGTTTGAGTGGCTCCCAGCTTGATTCATTGAGACTTTTACAAATGGAAGCTTCTTGGAGATGCTTTAGAAGCTATCTAATGAATGAGACAGAAATGGAATAGCAAATTACTGAACAGACCTCAAAGAGGTTTGACAGTTTAATAAGGGTGCCTGGGAATATATTAAAGAGATGGTCTATACCCTTATCAGCTAACTTAAAGCATGACAATTGGATAATTTGTCAGGATTCTTAAACTTTCTCTGGATTTCACCACTGCCTTCACCTCACTGCAGTCCTAACACAGATGACCTGTTGTGTGATCACCAGTTGTTTGTTTAAAAAAGAGATAATGCACAGCATTTCCAATAATTTGTTGGATTATTTTCAAATGAGCAATCTATTTCCTAGTGTTCTAAATTACAATTAAGACTCGAAGTACTTTCATTCACAAAGTGGCCTTCAAGTTTACTGTATTCAATACAATTAGTGC